TGGATGTCAGACCTGCACTCACATGAAGGAAAGGCTATAACTGTGGTGGCTGTCATGTAAATTATCTTTTTCCTCCTGTTTTGAACTGTGAAGTAATGATGCTGCTTCTATGAATCCAAATCTTTTTCAATTTTTAAATAAAATTTTAAATAAAATTTTAAAATAATTCCTTTTTAATTAGGAAGACTGCTGAGGGGGTTTTTTTATTCATAGGTTTAGAAGAGCCTGGCATGGTTTTTTGCAGGAGGGTGCCAATACTAAAGGCAGACACAGTTAAGGGAACAGAACCCTCTTAACACAGGTGACTGACGGGGCAGTGTGGATAAGTAAACCTGGGTAAGTGTTTCCTGTAGTGCGTTACACAAGTTCATAGTAGCAGGTTGTATTTGCTCCTTTGTGCACATGTGCAGTGTGCTGTGTCTTTTGAAGCTTTAGGAGATATCTTCAGGACTCGTGTTCCTTTGAAATGTTAGTGTTGTGTTTTTAAATCTTACCATTCTTCTCAGATTTGAGTAAATGGGAGCGAGTATCAAAGATGAAATTCAAACATGAGAATGTCCATCTTGTGCCTTATCCCTACATTTGTAAGTTGTACCTAGAATTGAACTCATTTCAGCGAAGTATATCTTGTGGTAAGTCACTGTGATTGTGTTTGGGTAATTTTGGGAAACATCTACGATCTATGTCTTGCTTTTCTCTTTTCCTTCTCCTACTGTATCTGAATCAGAGAAAGCAAAACTGCATGTGGGATAACTGTACCATGAGTCTGAAATAGAGCATAACAGGGTGTTCTTTGTTGTCTCATATTGCTTTTCTAAAATTCCCTGAATTTCCTGTTGTCTTTCCAACCACGGCTGACTCTTTAGTTGGTATTTTTATGAAGCAGTGCCCATTGGCTCTCAACCTTCATTTTTAATGTCAGTCATTGGGCTGGAGCCAGCACATGCATGTATATGGGACACCTTTTTCTTCCTTGTGCTTTACTATGTTTGTTGACAGAGAACATCCCACTCTTTGTTGCTATTTTACTAAAGAAAGAATGGATTTCTCTAAAAAAATAATGATAGTAATCATGGTAATAGCCTCTTTTATATAATTAGCAAACATTTTCCCCTCAACAGTGTCTCGTTTTCCAGGTTTTCTGTGAATTCTCTGAACAACCTCAGGCTGCAACTAAGGCCTCTGTGGGACTCTACATTTAAACTTCTTTTGTGAAAACTGAGTATTCTTACTATTTCCTGTTCTGATTATCAAGCTCTGAAAAAAGTTACTGTTTTTTTTTTCTTTAATGACTGCTTAGCAGATAATGTGATCTTTATAAAATTGCCAACTAGCAATTTCTTAGACTATCAAACATCCCATGTTTGGATGTAAAAGCTTCTAGCCATGGAGAGTTCATGAACTTCCCTCTACACCTGTTCCAGTATTTAATTGCCCTATCCAGATAGTTGTAGTGCATTACTG